CAAGTCACGAATACAAATTAAAATCAGTTGAAAGAGCATGTATTTTATAAGAATAAACCACATGCACACAGTGCATTAGCAAGTTACAAAGTCATTATCTCTAGGAAACGCACTCACAGAACTAAGCACTTGAAATGGTTTCATCCGGTTCGTTGGCATGTTCTTTCTATGTGAAGTGTGTGGACAGATGATGCTTTCTGGGCTTGGCTGAGATTCTCGTGGAACGATTCCTAAGACATCCACAGTGTGGATATGGAGAGGCAAGCCATCAAAGTCAGGTGACTCAAGCTTCTGAGTCTGCTCTGGGCTGCTCTGAACCCCTGCCTTCCATTTTTCTCTTGAAATCTACAAATCACTAGTAAAATATTTGGTGAGAGGGAACTTAAAACATCTGACATTTAAAAACATGCTGTAAAATGTTTTAACAGGAAGATTTTTGTTTAGCTTTTGGGGCCTACTTGAGCAAGCTCAGGAAACCAACACGAAACTTCTCCTGTGGATACATTAACACCCTTTTGATGAGAAACAAAGTCTAATAGAAACTGCCTGCAAATTTCAGCATTACAAAATCAGAGCCAACCTCAGGGCACAGCCAAAAGTTTCTCTAAATGCACTCAGACAGGGAGGGTATAACTTTCAAACCAGAAAGTAGAAGTAGGTGGGCTTAGACCAGAGGTTTCTCTTCTTCAGCATTTGATTATTTTCATAGAAATATTTCTATTTAAATGAGAACAGGTTGTAGATAGTCTGAACTAGGACTTTATTTTACTGTTAGAAAAGGGACTCGAAATCACAGTTTTGAAAATATCAAGCAAGGGCCTAGGGAGATGTTGGTAAACTCAAGCATGAAGACCTAAGTTTGGTTCCTAGCACCCATGTGAAAAGCTGGGTGTGGTGGTGTGCATCTGTTCTGGGAGGCAGACACAGGAGGATCTCTGATCTCACTGAATCAGTGGGCTTCAGATTCAATGAGAGACCCTGCCTCAAAAAATAAGGTGGAGAGCAGTGGAGGAAGACACCTGACATCAAACTCTGGCCTCTGTGTGCACATGTGAACACATAAACATGTATGCAAGAACCCCCCAACTATATGCACACATGAACATATGTATACATACATGCACACACCTACACTACCAAGCAAAGAGAAGAAAAGTCAATTGTTGATGTCAGTTTTCTCTCTCTTAGTTTTTCATAAAGAGGATAAAGTTGACTCAGCTTTTTGGTCTGGGGAAGGAGCTGATGGGATAGGGTGCTGTGCTGTGGTAGGCTTCAGGAAGACACGAAGGCCCTGACATCAGAAGCACTTTTTGGCAGCTCATGTTGGTGGCTACAAGCAAGAAATCAGGAATACATTTGCCGGAATGAAAACAATCTTTGGTGATATTTCAGTTTTGGGTTTGATCAGACTGTCTCAAGAGTGCTAACTACTCCCAGATGTGAGAGGTTGTCCCAGTTTCAAAGCTTCTTGGTTGAAGGGTCATGTTGGGACACAGGTGGGTTCTACTGCCTAGGTCATGAAGAAGGACATCTTGTAAGTCCTGACGTCTGCCTGTGCTATGAAGGGAAGCCTGTGGTAGGGTGAGGGAGGAAGATGGATATTCTTAGGGGAAGAAGTCCTTTGTGACTCACCTATGCAGTGGCACGGGTCCTTAACTTGGAATTGAATTGTTAACATCCTAGCCAGAAAATCAGGGAGGCCTTTTACAGGTACCAGGAAGTTGTAAATTCCCTGTGTTCTTATTTGATTTGTGTTCAGAACTTCTTACCAACAGTAAGACCATGGGCTTCAGTGTACCTATACAGTTATTCTAAGGATGTTGTACAAAGGGTAAGTGTGGCCTGGGAGAAGAAGGCATGAGACCCAGTGACAGATAGTAAAATACGTCAAGTGAATAAGACTCTGGTCTGTGCTTAGAGCAATACAGATGAGCCTCCCAGATGGTCTGGGTACTGTCTAGAGGAAATGTTGTCTATTGTCAGTCCTTATCTGACATTTAAAGTTCTAGGTCTTAAGGAATGAAAGCAGAAACTTCTCCATTTATGCCTTGGAAATTTGTTTGATCTTCTTTTTACAAATGTATCACATCAAGTACTATGAGTCTTATTTCTTCCTGGGAAGTAATTTTGGGGGGATTTTTTTCTCTCCCTTATAAGTACCAAAATGAGTTTCAGAACAGAAATATTTTAGATTTAGCAGATCTTTGAAATCAGATGTTGCTTTTCTGCTTGATACAAAAATATACATGTTCCTTTACTGCAGCTGGGTAGCACATGACAAGAAAAAGAAAGGATAAAGGATGCTGACAGCCCTTTATTCAACCAGTAAATGAAGACATATATTGACCCAAGGAATACCCACAAGGTAGCACCTGAGAGACAGTCTACCTTGATGGCTTTACCATCAGCTCCATGTTTGGATATAAAGACTGATAATGAACTTGTCTCATAGACCAGCCCTTCCCATTTTTAATGTCTATATGAATCACATAGGGTCTTGTTAAAATGCAGGTTCTGATTCAGTTGGTCTGTATCAGGCACAAGATGCTACTACTCTTCTAACTAGTTACCAGGTGATGCTAATGCTGCCAGCCCTTGGACCACACTTTGAGGAAATAAGAGCCAGCCAACCTTCTATTGTAAAAAGAGGCCTGCAGAAGATCATTTGCATGAGTGGCTGATGGAGACACCGTCAGATGACCCACAAATGAGAGCTGGAGAAAGACCATTTAATGACATGACAGAATGTGATACAAAATAAATGACAAGGTTAGAGTACATGAAATAATATTCCATTCATTTTGAGGAAAAGGTACAGAGAATAGCCGTTACATAAGAGATTATAAGAACACTAGCTTATGACTGAGTCAGCTGGAAATCCCCCGACTCTGTGCAGATTACTCTAGGTGGAACAGGAAATGTTGCAGTTAGCTGAACATTCTGAGATGGACTTAAACAGTGATTGCTGTTTACTCAAACCAAAAGACAATATCATCAGGTGATGAGAGTGTAGAATTCATTAGCTTTCTCGTGGCTCCTTGAGGAGAAGATAATCCTAGTAAATTCCTTAACAAATAATTCAAACATGACAGGTAGAAGTCATTTTAGATGTGTATTTACAGAGCATCTGAAATATACTGTCCTACTCAGAAGTGTTTCTATTCCTCTTCCAAAGAACTAATATGAACTCAAAGGACTGACCAGCGCAGGCCACTGGGAGGCTAGATCTGCTAAATAAGCTGATCTTTTTTTCACAGCGCCCTGGTGATGCAGATCATGTCCCAATTATAAAGCCACCACCAGTCACAGTACTATGAAGGCTCCGAACTGCTGCATAACTCACAGAACAGGATAGAACATACTTATAACACACATGTACCAAAGCAGTCCTTGTTTTGGACATAATACTATGCCCTTAGGAGAACAGTAGAGGTTGTGGCCAAGATCCATCATGCAGCTTTTGTTCTAATTTCCTGCAATGGAATTTCAAAGCCAAGGACCGTGTTGAGCTTACATCCCATCCTTTCACACACGAACCAGATTCTGACTCACCCCTCCCCTGACCCAGAGATCCCCAAAGAACTGGGCTGAGCCCCCCGTGGCTGAGCGTAGAGCTCGTGTTTTGATTTCCTCCCTATTCATTACCGACCATGGGAACACCATGAATTATTGCTTTAATCTTATATTTCTGCACTTGGTTATTGCATTTGTGGATATTAAATATATTTATTTAGAAACAGCTTGATGAAGATGAATATTATTTATATACCCAGGAACACATATTCCAGAGTTTTTTTCAGTCATGAGACTGTTAAGGTTATTCACTCCTGCATTTTGCTAAACTTCCCTTGACTGCCTGTCAAGGCAGAGGCAGAGATGGTGAGAGGTTGCAGTTCTACCATTCCATCCCCCGGCCTCTGGACACAGGGCGGAGGTTAACAGCTCTCTGGGAGAATTATCAGGTGTGCATTTTACCTTGTGTTTGCTTTTAATGTTCTATCTTTTTCAAAGTGTCTAGCGTCCTTTGTAAGTAACTCAGTTTTCCTCACCTCTTTTCTGTCCCTAATGGTCCTGGAAATGATGCTATTTCATTGAGTTTCTGTGTTTGTACTTAGGCAGTCTACTCAAAGAGCTCAAAACGGCTGGTGGTCTGCGGCTCTCACTGTGGAAACAGTACACACCTCATAGTTGGGCAACCAAACAAGAATGGATTTCAAAACGAATATAGAAGTCGTTACATAATAATCCCAGCATGATGTCAAATATGTCTTGAAAGCAAAACCTCAGTTTGTAATTTTCTATCATTTTGGTCTCAGGAATAAGTTTTGCTTTTGTGACATGACTTATTTAATTTTTGAGAGAGTGTCACTATGTAGTCCAGGCTAGTCTTGAATCCCTGAGTCTTCTAACTCAGCCTTCTGAGTGATGGGATTATAAGGGTACCCTAGTATTCCCACTTCATTACATAATATTTTAAGAGGTTTGCCTAAATTCAGATATCTCTTCTTGAAGATATAATATCTTGAAGTTCCTGTTCATAGGCGCTGATACCTTAAATAATGACATTTTTGTTGGATTCACATTCTAGGTTTAGTTTTGTTTTTTGATTTTTTGATTTATTTTTTGATTTATTTTTATTTCCATGTGTGATTGTATAACCTGCATGTGTATAAGTGCACCCGTGTCGTGCAATGTCTGTGGAGGTCAGAAGAGGGCATAGGTTCCCTTGGAACTGGAGTTATGGATGGTTGTTAGCTGCTATGTGGGTGCTGGGAATCCAACTGGGGTCCTCTGCAAGAACAGCCAGTGCTCTTAACTGCTGAGCCATCTCTCCAGCCCCATTTTTAAACAATTTTTTAAAAACTTGAGACAGGGTCTCCCTCTGTAGGTTGGCCAGACTGGAAGTTGCTGTGTTGACCAGGCTGGTCTGAACTCCCTGGGTTCTTCATGCCTCTGCCACCTCAGTGCTGGGATTACAGGCTTGAGCTACCATGCCTGTCTTAGTTTTTTTTTTTTTTTTTCCTCCTGAGTTTGTGGGGGTAGTTGTGATTGTTTCTCGTCTCTTGTTTTTGTGTTATTTCCTTGCTAGTGGTCCAGTGAGCACCGTGGATGGCTATTTCCACTTCTTGGCAGTTCTCTTACAGACCAGACATCTCCCAGATGATTCTTTGCATATTGTAACCAGACATAGTATCTTTGAATTCATAGGATCAAAACCCCCTTCCTGTCTTAAGTGTAGGACTTAATTCTTGACTTTGTGATTCTTGGTTGAGGTTGTGGTAGTTCTTGACTTCTATGGTTGTACTAGGAGTACAACCCTGATTTCTTACTGTAAACATGGCTTTGACTTGTATGTCTTAATCTCAGCTGTCTATGAATTCTAACTGGCAACCATCTAAGTGAAAAACATCTGTAAAACTAGCTACTTGATTGGGATTACATTACTGTGTGCTCTAGATTGCAGGCATATTGGTACAAAGATCCTATTCTTGTCTCTATTACTAGTTTGATGGATTGCTACTTTGTTTATAGGAGCCTAACTACATAAAGTTAGAAACTCAAAATGTGGCTGAAAGCTGTAGGATAAATAGATGTAACTCTAATGATGCATGTATAAACTCCAAATTGATACATGTGGCGCTGTGCATGTTACAGTACAGAGCTGATGGATGCCTGGTGGGAAGCAGGTGCCAAGATCTGTTTCAGCTCTGCACAGTACACCTCTCTCAGCCCACCCAGGCTGAGTGTGTCATCTGTACATCGAGGGATTGTGCTGCAGGATCTGAGGCCTTTTCTCCCCTTACATGGAGATCAGCTGCTACTTGTTGACTTTGGAAGATGGTGTGGACCATAGAAATCTCTCGATTTCTATGACTCTTTGCTTTTAGTTTTCAGAACAGTCTTAGTCATTCTTGTGGCAGAAGACATTTTGTGAAATAAATTAGGTCCTGCCATAAAAATCCCATTGGCCTGTTAGGGAGGTGATGGCCCAGGGAGCTATTTTCCTGTTGACTGCACACATCTGGGAAGTTTTCCTTGGTGGAGACAACACAACACTTTCAATTTTTCCTCCACAACAATGAGAAGTGAGAAGCAGCCCCTTAGCAAGGATAGCTATGCCATACTGCAGCAAAGCTGGCTCATAGCATTTCCTTCATTACAGGGCTAAATGCTCCTTACTGTTATTGAAGGATGAATTGACAACCTCTGCAGGGATGTAGCTCAGACATGGTTGATTTCCACTTAGGAAGGCAGAAAGGCCTTGTTTTCTCTAAACATCAAGTTTTGACTCACACATCTCCTGTTTCCTTTTAGGTGATGTGTATGTTTATGTCTGTGTTTATATGTGTGCTCATGCATATATACCTATGTGTGTTTTGGAAAATGTGTAGCAATTGGATGGTAGAGAAGAGAAACAGTATTAAAGTGTAGAAGAGGGGAAAGCACATTTCAGAAATTCTAAACAGACGAATTGGGATTACATTGCTGTGTGCTCTAGATTGTAGGCATCTTGGTGCAAAGGTCAAATTCTTGTCACTAGTTTATTACTAGTTTGATAGATTACTACTTTGTTTATAGGAGCCTAACTACACAAAGTTATATGAGTTTAAAATGTGATTGAAAGCTGTAAGATGGATACAATTCTAATGAAGGGGTGTCATGGAAGGTTTTAAGAGAGAGAAGACTCATATTATATAATTCTTTTCTATGTAGTTTTTCTAGGAGCAGAAGAGACTAGAAAATCTGGGATTTTTTCCCTCCAATGGAGGGAGCTTGAATCAAGAGAAAAAGAGGTACAATTTCATAGTGCCAAGATAGGATCTATTTATGCAATAAAAATTTCAAAGTTAGTAAAAGTTAGCCTATCTGGGTAATTCCAGGGCATTTGAAAGCAAATACAAGTAATTAGAACCAATCATAGCCTCTAATTAAAGCATAAAAAGTCACTCTATTCTAAGAGTTCCTGGCTGTTTGGAATCATCCAGTAGAAAAGTCACATGATTTCTCTCTAGAAGCTTTTCCTGCCCAAGGACCAAATTCCCTTCTCTTGGTGTAGCGCATCGATCTGGAAATGGCACCTACTAAACTAGTTCCTCCACAGACATTTGGCAGAATGAACTAAGGAGAGAGAGGCAATGACTTCATACCAGTTGCAACGGGAAAGTGTCACTTAACTGTAATTGGAGCTTATACTGAGGCAAGCTGAGAAGCATGTTGGGTCAAAGCAAGTAGAAAAGTTGAGGCACTTTGTTTGACCCTTAGGGATTCTAGAACACTTGCTTTTTCATGTCCAGTGTCCAGAGCCTTTTTTAGGTCAGGCTCTGACTTGGAGCACATGGAACTGGGCACAGGAGCAACTGTGAAGCTGAGGGAGGGCAAGGGCATTTGATGAGGAAGGGAGAGACTATTGTTTGTTGCTCAATCAACAACAGCGTCAAAGATGGCTTGCTTCTGTCAAATTCTTGCCCTGACTAATTCAGATGAAAAGCAGAAACACTGTTTTCTCAAACACAGTTCATTTTTAGTTTGCATGGCGATAGAATTTTGAAAGACCAGGCCATGGATCACTGGAAGTGTTTGCAGGGTGAATCTTTGGCAAAATTGTGGAGCTGTAATAATTCACAGGCTGTTCTCTTTCAAAGGTTTAAAGAAATCATGACTCTGTAAATTTATAAAATTGCAAAGTTTTCTTGTAATCAGGCATTCAGAGGTACATGCTGGCGCTAAGAACTTTGGCAGAGACCTACTGACAGTAGGCGGGAACATAACCCACTTTGTCTTTTGGCTCCTTTGATAGGGATTTGCAGAAATCAGGGAATTGCCTGCAACATTAGAAACAAATGTAAGACACCTGGGAGAGAGAAGATTCAGGAAAGAGGGTTAGTGTTGCATTCCCAAGTTCTGAAAAATACACAAAGTAAGGCCACCAATGCAGGAGCAGAGTTCTTGGTTTTCCCGCTAGGATTTCCTGTCACTTCAAGTTCATGGGAGGGGAGATGTGAAGTACATGATGGTCTTGATTTTGCTTCCAACACCTCACCGGCTCCCTGTCTGAAATGCGGCTCAGTATTCTTGGTGCAGGGTGGATATGTCTGGTCTGGGGATGTGGCAGTCAGCTGACAGGATGCTGGGCTGAGGACTGGCAGGGTGGAAGGGTGGGGCCTTGGGGAGCAAGGATCCCTTTCTGACCACTCCCTCCTTTTTGGCTGGAGTTGGGTCACAGAGATCTGTTGCCCTTCTCCCCCTTGGACGGCAGGGACGCAGGTCTCAGATAACTTCAGACAAAAGCACAGCAGCTGTGGCACTCCGAGCAGCCTTTCTTTTTTTTCTTGGGGTGGAAAATAGTAAGGATGGCTTCATCAAAAACAGCTTTGAGACCTTTCTGAGTCAGGGCTGAACATTCCAAGTAGCACTGTGCTCCAATCTTAAATACAAAGAAAGAAAGTCATGAGTGCCAGCTAGTACCTGGTCAGACATCTGTTTGTCATACAAACAGCATGGGGATTTGCTTTGGATTCCTTTCCCTTTTGCATTTCACTTTACATCTGCTCCTCTAACTTATGTACATGTCTATATTCTTATGTAATTATATACCCATATTCCTGCAATAACCACAGAGTTGTAGCTCACTTGTAAGCAATAAATTCTCAAAGCGACCCACGGCCATTTATTCCTAGCATGCATGGTGGCGCATGCCTGTAGTCCCAGCACTTGGGAGGCAGAGGCAGGCGGATCTCTGTGAGTTCAAGGCCAGCCTGGTCTACATAGTGAGTTCTAGGACAGCTGGGGCTACAGGGAGAC